GGGGGGGACCCCAAAATGTCCAGAGATGTCCCAGCAAGGGAGCAGGGGACGAGTCTGGGGGTGTCCCACAGGGCAAGGCAGTGACGAGGTGCCCTGAGGTAGATACGGGCACCCCGGTGGTCCCGGAGAGGACAGGGATGGCACCGAGGAGACCCAGTGTTGTCACCAAACCCTGGGAATGGGGACAGATCCTGCCAGTGAAGCCCATGGAGGTGGTGGCCGGCCCGGCGGTGGCTGGGGACATCTTGGGGTGTCCCCTGGGGTCGGGGTGTCCCAGGGGGGGACCTGTGTATTCTTTGTATGAAAATAAATCTATTTAGCCAATATTTATACCTGTGACCTGCTGCCCTGACCTGGTGTCCCCTCCCCGATGTCCCTGCGGTGGGTGATGGCCCCAGGGTGGTCCCAGATCCAGGGTGTCACCCTTGTTCTCCCCTGACGTGTCCTGGAAGTGGTGGGGACACTCAGGCAGGGGTGGTGCTGTGGCAGGGCCACGCAGGGAGGGGACACTGGACACAGGGGACATGGGACAGAGGGCACAGGGGACACGGGACATGGGACAGAGGAGGGCACAGGGCCAGGGAGACACAGGGGACATGGGACACAGGGGACATGGGAATGAGGGCACAGGGCCAGGGGGACACAGGGGACATGGGACAGAGGGCACAGGGCCAGGGAGACACAGGGGACATGAAACAGAGGGCACAGGGCCAGAAGGACACAGGGCACAGGGGACATGGGACAGAGGGCACAGGGCCAGGGGGACATCAGCCAGGGGACACAAGGGCCATGGTGACAGAGGGCAAGGGGACACAGGACTAAGGGCCATGGGGACAGGGGACACGGAGCCTGGGGACACAGGATTGGGGGATGTGGGGACATTGGGACAGAAGGCTCTGGGGACACAGGGCCGTGGGGACATGGGGACACATCTGGGGCCATGGGGACACCCACGGATCCATAGGGACAGGGGAACATGGGGCCATGGGGACACACACAGGTCTGTGGGGGAACACCCACGGATCCATAGGGACAAGGGGACACAGGTCCATGGGGGGACACACAGATCCATGGGGACATGGAGACACCCACAGCTCCATGGGGACACCCACAACTCCATGGGGACACCCACAGCTCCATGGGGACACACATAGATCCTTTGGAATTTGTATCCAGGGGGACACCCACAGCTCCATGAGGACACACACAGACCCGTTGGAATTTGTGTCCATGGGGACACATACAGATCCGTGGGAATTTCGATCCATTGGGACACACACAGATCCACAGGAATTCGGATCCATAGGGACACAGGTCCGTAAGGACACCCACAGCTCCATGGGGACACCCACAGATCCACAGGAATTCGGAGCCCCAGGGACACCCACGGATTCCTAGGAATTCAGATCCATAGAATTCGGACCCACAGGGGCACCCACAGATACACAGGAATTCGGAGGCACAGGGACACCCACGGATTCCTAGGAATTCAGATCCATAGAATTCGGAGCCACAGGGACACCCACAGCTTCATAGGAATTCGGAGCCACAGGGACACCCACGGATCCATAGGAATTAGGATCCACAGGATCCGGATCCATAGGAACACCCACGGATCCATAGGAATTCGGATCCATAGGAATTCGGATCCATAGGAACACCCCGTTCCCGC